AAGATGCTGACGAGCAGGACAATAATGAGCACCAAAGGAATGCATAAGCATGTGATGGCTGTGTGCCCCACAGGAACAAAATCCAAACGGAGTGAAGGGTTGTGAGGTGGGCCACCGAAAAGGAAACCAGGCGGATTGACAAGAACAGATTCGCATTGGGTTATAGGAATTCCCTGAAGAATGACAACCATGGGTAGCCCATGAATGGGGATCCGAATGTGGCATCGAAGATGAAGCTGGTTGCACATGATGCATTCGTGTGGAGGTGGGATGGCCGGGAAAATGCCACGGCATTTCTGTGTAAGGGTTGGATAGAAAGGCTGGGTTGGATGTAGACGAGGCAGATGTGGTGTAGGCGCACTCGGAATAAGGCGGAGGCGGTGAGGCCGGTACAGTCATGGGAAAGGGATAGTGGTGCTCACCTATTGTTCGATGATCACTGACGGAGTAAGGAGGAACAGAAACCGATGAGAGTGGTTTCATTTGGGTATCACTGGAAGCGAAGCGACGATTTGATCCACGTAGTTGACCAGGACCATCAGTAATCGGTGGAAGTCTCTCCACAGAAACTGTCACGTCATAACCCGTTAAGTCGACAAAAACTCCGGACAACGGATCAGTCGATGAACAGGCGGATTCATGAGAAACATTTTCAATAAACACATCGTCCAAGCAACATTCATCGTAAGACTTAGTTTTATGAGGGAAATAATCGCACGCAGAAGGGTATGCGTATGAGTTTTGGTAGGAAAAAGGATAGGCAGGACAATTTAGATCAGGTGTAGCAGAATGAAACGGAGATCGGAATGGATGCGCGTTCGAAACCCGCGGGTGGGTAGGAATTGGACGAGCTAAATAGGAGCCTCGACGTGAGTAAGAAGTATTATTGACAATCCAAGACGGAGTGCGGAAAGACAAATTGCTCCGTGATCCACCCAAAGGCTCTTTAGTTGTCCGTGCGGACACGACGGAAACTTTGGGACCGACGGCGGACGCATGGCCTACGGATGGAAGCGGAAGTAGATCATCATCCGACTGGGTGTGGCCACACGGCGACCGCTCACTACTACTGCTGCTATTCCCACTACCACCACGGCTTTTGTGAGTTGGATGATGTCGTTTCCCATTAACCGTATTGTTAACGTCTTTGTAACGGGCAGCCTCAGCTGGCGTTAACCAGGAACTCTGCGGGTCTGTACTTACAGGGTTTGTCGTTGATACAGCTGCCGCAGCAGCCACTGCCGCATATGTTTTCCTGTCCCTATCCTCATCGCACGCTGATTTACATTTATGATTGACCAGATGACGCGAGACTTCATCTTGATGGCCAGTAAAGCAGGGATACTTAGTAGCAGTAGTAGTTGTTGTTGTTGTTGTATTTCCATGAGACACACGATGTCTCGACGTATACGGACGGCTCGAAGCGGACAAACTACTGAATTCATCGTGATCCGTGTGGTGTGGCACTCGTGTTGAGCCAATTCGTTNGAGTCTGTCTCACTTGAATACCGATTGTTCAGTTGCAACTTACGACTGTTTGCATGGCCAGCCGTGTGCCATGGCAGACGAAGCTTGGTGGTTAGTTCCAACGAAGGTGAAATCCGTTGAATCAGTTGCGATAGATTGCGCATCGAATTTAGTGGAGCGGAGATGAGAATGCATAACAACCATTTAAGCTCACAGCGTTGAACGGACCAGGGAACGGTGACCGCATGGGTGGGTGATTGACTTGAACGCAGATTGTCAATGACTTCATCGGAAAAGCCGGGCGAATGTAAGGCACAAAATGCGCTGAGTAATTTTAGTCGCTCAACATGAAGAGAATAAGAAGAGCATAGATTTTTCTTTCCACTAAGCGGATGTAGCTTGTTGTATGCATGAGCATCCCTATCGCGAGAAGTGTTGTCAATTCGAGGAACGGGGGCGAGTATGGAGTCTGAGCTTCCGATCGGGACACGAACTATGGGTATATTCGGGGAGAGAGAAGAAAACCGTCTACAAGATGGGCCGGTTGATTGGGGCGTACCTGATTTATTCGATAAAACCAATCTAGTGGTTGAATCTGAGGTTGTGCGACAGCATTCGTTGAGACAGCGGTTAGACACATTTTCGAGCGCATTCAAATCTAGTGAGGATACTGAGTTTGCTTTGGGAGAAAAAGTAACGGAACAGGCCTGACGTTCGGGATTGTGTACATCACTGTTGGTCGAATTATTACTCAGAGAGTGGATCGGATGTGAAAGAGGGGTTTGGCACCACTTCCATGATGAACAGTGAATAGAAGGATTTCGTGATTCAGCAGACCACTTTGACAGAACAGATTGTTTGTTATCGATGGCAGGCAGCTCTGATGAATCTGGAAGAAAGACATCCTCGTCGCTTGAAGCACTACCGGAATCATCCTTGAAATCCAGTGGATCTAATTCCGTCGAACACCGGGAGTGTGCGAGGAGTTCCGTGGGACTTGGAACTTCGATCATCTTCGACGGGACACTAGGGGTAGGGAGTGGTGTTGTCGTTTTCCGTTGCGAATCCGGACACCATACAGACGATCGAGAAATGTTTACCACTCGAGCGGGGCTGAAAACAATCTGAGAGTCGTTGAGAATTCGGGCTTTGGGTGAGACATGTACTTGGTCGTGATCACAAAGTGCGTTTTTTGCTATCTGTAGTGTTAGAGATTTACGCGGCAAGTCTGATTTCGGAAATAAGTGCGAGGTTTCAATCAAAGTAGGCGCGTTTAATATATCCAATTCACGCATGATTTTCCATTAGAAAGCAAAGGGAACGATGAACTTTGTGAATTTGCACAAATAAACATGTGATTTACTATTCAGCACCAACAGCACAGTTAAATAGGTATCAGAATCTGAGCATAAACACAATAGACCGGAACAAAATTTGGAGTGGAAAACACATTTTGATAATCCCACCGTGATTTATATGTACGATAAATGCGCAAATTAAGCACTCAGATATGGGACAAGAAGTAACCTATCAGATGAGAGGCATGGCGTACTCCATAGTCAAACAACGAACACGCAAACACAAATTCCGTCCAAACACGGTAAAATGACTGCAAAGGCACACATCCAAACAAACAGATACACAGACGATATGCGTGCAGTAGCAGCCAAAGGTAATCACAATGTTGAGAATCTTCTCAAATGTGATTGGTCGATTCTATCGCCACCACCTACTGTGATGCTCACAGCTCAGAGAACCAATCACATGGTTTAAATGAGAAGACTTGACAGCCAATGAGAGTAAAGTAAATGCTCACATGGAGTTAAAAGTGCATCTACGACTGGTTCCGATGAGGACATCAGTGCGTGAGCACGGTGCGCGCATGCAAGGTATGCAAGAAAGACAGATTTGATAATTTGCCGACACTGCGAAAACGACGCACGATGTTTGCTTGCACTTGTATGACCATGAACTGTTGGTTAATGGATGACCCTACGAAGTACTCAATATTCTTACTGTTACATTGAGAAACAGACTGGGCATAAATTTCATTTCGATCATTTGCTCCTCGGGCTTAGATAAATACGCATGATGGAAAAATGCCTTGAGGTGCAATAATTGAAGTTGTGAAGTGAAGTGTAATTTGGAAAATAAACGACAGGTGATTTTCAGTGCGTTGGTCGGATAAACATTGTTCTGTTCGGTTCTGTTCTTTTCTTTTCTAACAACCATTAACCATTCACTTTTGTGCACCGGTTTTGGCGGCGGTCTTTTGGTTGCTCATTTGGATAAAATAGCAGAATGAAGATTGGAATGTTGAGAACAGATTTAAGCTGAAGGTAGCACATTTTCATAGACTGAAGTTACAAGAATATTGAGTAGATGCATGAGCGCCACTGTTTCCGACACCCAGCTATGTCGTTCAGTGTCTCTAACCACCGGTGACCATGATCTATGGGTCCCCAGCCAGGGAGCCTAACGGGACCTATGTGAGCCAGTCTCCTGGTCAGGGTTTTCATACCCTCGTGCCAGGTCTTAGCTTGACCGCCCTTCATTGTTTTCTAACCGCTACTTGCCTCGGCAAACATCGCTCGCCGTGGCAACCTATTTGGTGACATGCGTAACACATGCCCCAACCAGCGTAATCTATGGAGGTCGACCACTTGCTCGAGTGGACGACCACGAATGCCGGAAACTCTACGCCTAACCTCAGCGTTGCTCTTCCGGTTTCCTCACCAGACTCGTGCAATGCTACCTAGACAGCGGTGTTCGAACACCGACAGTCTATTTTTGTCCTATTCCGGCATTGGCCAAGTCTGCGCCGTAAAGCAGATCTGGCCGAACTGCTGCAGCATATACTCGACCCTTAACAGACAACCGGATGTCGCGGCGGCGTTACAGATGTCTCAAGTTGGCAAATGACAACATCTGGCGAATAGAGTTGACGGCACAGTGTAGGTTTGCGTAAGGGGGCAATGGCCGTTACAAGTGACGGAAGTAAATTGAGGTTACTTTACGAATCTCTTTTATCGAGTGAATTACCAGAATTATTCCAAAGAACCAGATAGCTTAAGAAGCATACGATTTCAAGAGTGTAGACAAGGGCTATCGAGAGCGATTTGCTTTTAACCTGCGAGAAAGGCAACAATGTCCACCAATTATGTGTGAAGAGGAAGGACCTTATCATAAGATAAGAAGAATACATAAATGAGTCACTATTACCACAAGTGCAAAAGCCGCTTGTTAAACAATGGGCTAATTAAACGAGGACCCGTAGAGGAAACCAGTGGTAATCTTCGTTTTTTTTCGAAAAACGCCTCATATACCACGGCTTCAGTTAACCGCACACGCTGAGTCCAACTGTGAGGAGCTAATTCGGAAAACAGTTTAAAACCATCTCCCAGAGCACAGAGGAATTTTGCTTTGAATGGAGATATATAAATACACGAAGCCTCTTTCTTTACTCCTAAAAGACAAATAAAATGAAGAGATTCATTCAATTTAATAATCAAGATGAGAACTCGCCCAGTAGGACAAGTCTAACCGCATGCCTCTTAACTATCAGAACAACCCAGATGAGCACAGTTGACTCCGAGTCGAAATAATAAAATGTGTAATACCAGATCATCAGAAACGCACTTGAGGCAGACTATTTGTAAGGAAATAATCCAGCAATTCAACGAGAGATATCATGCATGTCGTATATGGTACAGGGGTTCTCCTACAAATGAAGCGTAGTGTCACATTACCTTAAAGCACGTGGTGGCAACTGAGATTGGCAAAGCATGCAGTTACAAGGTGAGAGTATATATATATATATATATATATATATATATATATATATATATATATATAAATTAAGACAAGTATGTTACAGTTCAGTGCGGACACTGGAAGCCGTGTGCGGTATGTGAGAATCGAATGTACAACAAGTGAAATAAACCACCACTAAGATGATCACTCAATGCGCACGGAGTTGTCTATCTACGATAGCAGTAGCGCAAAGTAAGCAACAAGCAGGGCTTTGTGTATGCTTGAACAAGCTGGTATAGAAGAATAAACCATGACCAGCTCTCTAACAGTGCAAAGAATTCCTGAATCGACAAAACATTCCAAACTAACTCATGTGACAGCAAACCAGACATCAAGTAGTGTGGATGCACAACAATGAGAATTAGAACATATGTACATATAAACGGATGCTCTCGGCTCACACATCGGTTTCCTGTGCGGTTACAATTCACATTCTGCAGCGAGAAATATGCACGAGCTCAATTACAAAAATACTGTGTTCTTTCAGTGCACGCGAGCGCGCGATAGTTCAAAGCATGTTAGTTGAACAGTGAGGACCAGGAAAATTCAACCGGAAATGTGTAGGATGTGTGAAAAAGCGTGAAACCAGAATAAAATAACGGAAAAATGATTCAACGTAATTGAGTTCACAACCAAGCAGAGTGATCAGTTTACGTAAGTATCACTCATGAGGGAAAAAGCTGCTCCTAGTCGAGACAGGTGAAGATCAATGAAAGCATGTAAGCTAATACGATTAGGGTGATTGCAGTGCATTCAACCAGAGGCATGAAAACAGTACATGAGAAAGTATGTGAGAAATAAATCAACTTGTCCCTTCGAAAAAGGTACAAATCAGAAGAAACAGATCCTCAACGAGGGGAACGCTATGTGATATGGAGGTTCTTAGTTAGGAGTGTCCACAGACTTGATATTTCGTTGATAAGTAGACTGTACCGGTTATTGTACAGTTATGATACTTGAAAGTAAGGATATATATTCAACGTCAATTAACCGGGGAGAGAAATGAAAGAAGCACTTAGAAATCACACAATACTTCATTTATTGTTCAGTACAACCAAACATGTTGAAAACCTATTTATTATTCAAGTGTGTGACGCAACAAGGTAAATGCAGTTCTTCGGAAGAGAAAGGCTTAACGTCACCGAAGAGGTATGGTCAGTGTGCTCATGTTAGGGGTATATACAAACCGCACGAATTTTTATTATTTTTTTTTTATCATTTTCATGAGCAGTTCTTCCGATGTACTTACTACCGTAAATACATTGAAAAAGATAAACACAGGAAGAGTTTTAACTAAAGATTCGGATTTTGCAGGATTGGGTTCAGTGAGCATTCGCTTTGTATCGTGCAGTGTTATAAGTGAGGTAGCATTATACGTTCTTTCAATCGCTTGTTTCAACCTGCGCTGTATCCGCCTGTTATTTTGATCACCTTTAGAAGTATGGTTCCTCTGTTCTGATTGATTCAACCGTGCTCCATACTCCATAATAAACGTTTTGGGGTATCCCTCTGCGAGCAAGTGCCGTGCATATGCGACGAAAATCGAACTCTGTTTCATTGGAACAGATTATCCTGGATCTAGACAAAAACTCCACACCAACGATCGTTTGTATTGTATTGAACAGAAAATTCTAAAATTAAGATACTATCCCGTGTGAAGTACACATCGGATGAGTGCTCTGTCCTCTTTTCTCAAGAATTTGACATCCAGGAAATGGAACCAAGATTCGGATTCGTGTTCCCCGAGAATTTATTATTCGAATGTGAATGGTTGAGTTTTCCAAGCATCAGTTGTACTTGTGCGTTGTAATTCAGTACGACAAATGTGTCATCCACGTAATGGTCGTAAAAGTGTGTTCTGTATGCAATGTTGTAATTTCGTATTCTCCATGTTTCCCTAGTGGACACATTGCAACTCCTTCAACTGAACGACGATAATCTTCGTTAAAACATAACTGCACATCTTTAGGATATCGAAGTAATAATCTCCTGAGACAATGCGCTGGAATATTAAGTTAGTCGGCATCTAAACAAACATCGTTTACAGTTTCACAAAGAGGAACATTAGACAATATGGAACAAACATCATACGACACCAAGTGTTTAAGAGAAGCATGAAGATCACGGATTTTTTCATCAAAATCAAACAAGTTTTTCAGAGTGTAGTTAGAAAACTTTTGTTCGATTAGTTGAAGGAAGCCTATAAGCCACCTGAGTGCGCCGGGTGTCCTCGAGGTAATCCCTTTGTACATCTGGACACGATGAAGCTCGCTCACTCTGCCAGTGTGGTGTAGGGATCGTATTAAACGGTAAAGCAGAAGCCCATATGATAGATTGGATACCCGTCAATAGTCGTTTATGCGCAATGAGGCTACAGGGTTCAGTTGGTGTTCGGAAGGGCAGAAACACCAAAAGTTGTTTGTTCAACATTTCCGCATATGCACCAACCAACTGTAGTCCTACTTCACAAAAGGACGAATTTTACGACAAACTCATTCGGTCCAGCCGCAGCTCTGATGTTATAGCGCGTGTAGGTGATTTAACGCGCAGGTTAGAAAACTGAGCGCATTCGAAGCCCGTCTGGGAGGGCATTTCGCTCTTCCCACTCAGCAAACAGATAACGGTGATCGACTATTTCAGTTCTGCGCGGATCATCGGTTGTTCTTATCTAACACCAACTTTCGACACAGCTCTCCTCGAACGGGTACAAGATGTTCAACGGAAGAATTGACCGGATTTATCACATAGCTGTAAGCTACCGTTGGCGTGATTCAGTACAAAATTGCATATCCTATGGGACCACTTGCGTTGAGTCGGATCATGCACCAGCTCTGTTACTCTTCACTCTTCGACTCATCGGCACAAATCCACTTCTCAGTTAGCTCATCATCGTCTGCGCGATCCATCTATCTGAGAACGTTATGAAGAGAATCTGGGACAGGAGCTAGGGAGGACCGCGACAAAAAGGAGTAGACCAGCAGTGTAATAAAATTAGATTTCTTTATCACGCACCAGTCTGTGATGAACAACAGTGGGGGTGAACAGACACGAAGAAATGCGATGTTAACCGGCAACCTCAGCCCCGGGGCATAGAGTGGTGAACCACATAAGGCCCCGCTAGCTCAAGCGTGGTACAGAACCGGGACACATCAAAGCTGCCTACCACCAAAAGTGGGTGTCGAGGCTGGAGCCTCGGACGACAGTGTCCAAAGCACGCCGGTGACAGCGACTAATGGACTGCGCCACCGCTACTCAGCAGCAAACTTGTGGGACCGAGCTCGAAGTTCGCCAAAGGTACTGGATCCTTCAGGAATCAGTAACCCCGATGGATCAATAGTGAAAGGTTCCAATCTGCCAGGATTAGCATAGAGACCGATGTCGCCTGCAACATCAACTCAGGAAAAGCCTTAAGAAAGATCGCGAAAAGTGGTGGGACAAAATAGCTAGTGAAATGGAGGCAGCTTCTGCATCAATGAATATTCAAAGACTGTTTCACCTAATAGGCAGTTCCGGAGTTCGTCGCATAACGGTCAGTGAGACCATTTGCGTTAAAAGTGGACAGAGTATCCACAATAAAGAACAACTACTTGGTCGATGGATAGAGTATTTTAGTGAACGATTCAATTGGCCTAGTCCTAATGCGGTCATTCCAGCAATTGCAGCAGGAAACCTCAAGGCGGTAATATGTGAGGTCCCATCAGAATTGGAAGTACTAAGCTGTATTCAATTACTAAAGAAAGGGAAGGCTGCGGGACCTGGTGGGCTTCTCGCTTTTCTTTTCAAGGTGGGCGATGATTCTCTTGTCGACTAGATTACTAGGTTAATTCACAGCACTCGGTCGGAGGAGCGTATTCCTTTGTTCTGGAGTGAATCGTTGATCGTTCCAATCTTCAAGAAGGAATTCCACAACGACTGCGCTAACCACCGCGGGATTAATTTAATTCTGACAATCGCAAAAGTGTTGATTTCTGTGATACTTTGCCGCCTGACAACCTTAAGAGACATGGATATTTTTGCGAACAGCAAACCGAAATCCGACCAGGTCGAGGTTGCATCGACCAAATCTTTACTCTGCGTCAAGTCCTCGTCGGCTAACAATCGCAGTGTTCCTTGACCTAACGGGAGCCTTCGAATTAGTTGACCACGAAGCTCTTATGGGAGTGCTGCTTCGCAAAGAAATGCCGCAGAAGTAAGCAAACCTATTGCGGTCGCTGCATACTTCTGGTAGCGTAAGGGTCCACGATAAGCTAAGTAAATCGTTCGAAACCAGGAGCGGTCTGTCAAGGGTGCCCTCTTTCGCCACTCCTGTTCAATCTCGTCGTAGACGAAATACTGAAGAACGCACTTAGTGGTCTCCAAAATGTTGGTTCTGATTGGGCAGCCAGAGGAAAGCTGCGCGATCTAGATTACGCTGATGACATCGTTTGCCTGTTCGAATGTATCGAGGATGCGCAAAGCGCTGTGGACAGACTTTCAAGTTCCGTAACTCCTTTCGGCATGCGCTTTGCACCCCTAAAGTGCAAGTGATGCTACAAGACTAGGTATCGTTTATCCCAGCGCTGCTGCTCGATGGTTAGGAGTTAGTTATGGTGGAATGTTTCTCCTACTTAGGTAGGCGTTACAAATGACGGTAGTGGTCAATGAAGTAACCACACGCATTTCCAACGCCCGAGCAGCTTACGCAGGATTGAAACAACTTTGGTGCAGACGCGATGTTTTGCGTATATTGCACCAGTGTGCGGTCAGTACTGCTCTATGGTGGGAAGACCCTAAATTTGCACGTGGAAGATATTCGTCGTCTTGAAGTATTCGACTGCCGATGTTTACGCAATTTGGCACGCGTTGAATGGAGCGGGTGTGCAAGCAACTCCGAGGTAATGATTCGATGGAGAATTCGTTGTTCTATCGGATTCAGATTAGTCGGCTGGTTGGGACACATATTGCGCATGACCAGTCATCGCCTGCCGCACCGCGCCTTATTCGCAGTTGCGGCTCCAGGTTAGAAGAAACCGCATGGCGGTCAACAGATGACATGGAAATGAGACGAAGAAATGCATCGAACGATTAGGTAGAATCATCATCGTGCAGCGAAATACAGAGAAGCGAACTTCGCTAATTGCTGCTAAACCCGCAATGCATATGCATATGGATTTGATAGACGGGCACTGCTAGGGTGTTCAGCCACTAAGCAGGAGAACGATTAGGGTTCTCGTCCAAAGCCCTTAGTTCTAACAAGAACCTGACCGCAAGGCAGCGGGTGAAGCACAGTGGAGGCCCATTTACTTGGATCGATTGCCCCTTTACGGTTTTACCGACTGAGACGCAAACTCGTGTCGAACCTCAACCTTGAGGACCAGGAGACTCGACTTCGTCTGACCTCTACCCTTCGACCTTCCAGGCATGATTAGATCTTCGGCTTAATAAAAGCCATCCTGTGTAGCTCGTTGGGTCACAGAGGTGCACGAGCCATCATACCACGTCAAGGTTCAGTCTCATCGTGATGGTCAGACAGCTTTTTTCCATAGCCTGCAGCAATTGGTTGAGGTTTGCTTTATTTTTCTCGCTCCCATGGTTACTTTCAATCCGCTTCCTTGCTTCTTGTGCTACACATATGATCGAACTTGCAGGCCAGACTTATCTTTACCTCTTCATGCGATCAATTATTCACTCGAATATTTTTTATTTCACACCTGAGTGTGATAAACAGCCTAGTCACGAAGACGTGCTGCTTTATTGATGGAAACCGGCGATCTAAGCCCCCGGACTTGAAGTGGCGAACCGCATAAGGCCCCGATAGGTTAGGCTTGGTATTGAACTGGACGACAGCAGAGCTGCTTACCATCAAAGTCGGTGGCGGTGGCGGAGCTCGAACCTCGGACCATAGGATCCGAAGCACGTCGGTGACAGCGACTAAACCACNCAACCTTGAGGACCAGGAGACTCGACTTCGTCTGACCTCTATCCTTAGACCTTCCAGGTATGATAAGATCTTCGGCTTGACAAAAGCCATCCCGTGTAGCTCATTGGGTCAGAGAGGTGCACAAGCCATTGTACCACATCAAGATGCAATCTCGTCGTGATGGATTAGGTAGAATATGTGTCTCCCATCTTCTAGGTTGGGATCCGAAAGACTCTGTAACTGACCGGTTGGAGATATTGAATGATATGACAACTAACCGACAACAGTGGCGTTCTTATCATTTCTTATCAGGGCCGAATGCTTGAAACGGTATGTATGCGGAGTTCGATCGTGTACTGTGTGTTGACCATAGAGGTTCACTTTCTTTGCCTCCTTCCAATTAGGCCCCGTCTCCTCATCTTGTGCTTTATCACTTGATTTGTGTACATTGTGAGTTTCACAGCGATCGGTGAAGTTCGCTTCATTGTATCTCGCTGTACGATGATGAAGAGGAACATTTGGTTGGGTGCTCAAATCATAGATAGTATGGGCCGTATTGGAATACCATCTTTGTGAATTTTGAGTAGCCTGTACATACCAGGTAAGCGAGAGCCTCGGGGGACGACTTGAGCTAGTATGGCACTACTACAATGGCCATTATTATGCAGCTAATATAGTGTGATTGCTTCATCGTTTCACATCATCTTGTCCATCTCACCCGCTACCGGAAACAATTAAATTCCCTCTGACCCTCCAAGTGATCGGATTAGTGCATCTTCTATGATTTGCGCAACTCGCAATTACTCAACCTGACACCAAAAAACCTGATCACCCGTTCGTATTGTTCGTGATGCTCTTGTTGTCACCTGTAATTCAGCCGTCTGACGATTGCAAATCCCTCCATAACTGATTCTCTACCAACACCTGAGAAGCATTGGATTCATAACTTATCCTCCGCCTATGTCGATCCGACAATCACATGATCGATCGGTTGAATGGATCAGTCATAATAGACGATATGAAGCTTGCCCAGCTAACCAGAGCGAGAACCCACACATTGTTCACAAACTCCAATCTTATGCATGCCCAATGAAATTTGACTATGTCCAACAGGAATGCCATCGTCACACCGCTGAATTACAGGTGACAGACAACAAGAGCATCACAAACATTACAAGTGGGTGATCAAATAGTTTAATGTCAGGTGGAGTGATTGCAAATTGCTTAGAGGGTCAGGGGGAATTCATTTGTTTCAGGTCAGGGGGGAGAGGTACAAGACGATGTGAAACGATGCAGCAATCGCGCTTAATTCACGCGCAATGAATTGTTTCACAGCAGCTGTTTGGTCACGTCGATGGTTCCGAAACAAATCTGCTTCTCCCTTCTCCTCCACTCTGCAGTAATTACGCTCCTTGCCCTTATACCCAATCCGGTTCGAATTAGTGACCTTTGGCCTTCGTAATGATTGTTTTCTCTTCCCCGTGTGAGTTCACCTGTCACCTGTCACTTTTTACCAAGGGGAGTGAAATTGTTGTATGGGTAACGCATAACGTAAACAGCATGCGAATACACAAAACTAAGCAAAGAAGAGGTCCGTGTGTTCTTTGATCTCCTATCACTCGCGGACCAGTTATGAACCTGTTCTACGAACTTGAGTTTTTAATTAATACACCTTGATCCCTAACAGTGGAATTGGTCGTCGAAGAGGAAGTCAAGGACGAATAACCGAAATTGGTTTTAGCCTAGTCGCATGCTTTTCTTCATGCTAGGATTATTAATCCACGTGTGTTGTAAATGCTGCATAACTTATCAGATCCGTGTGAGACGCCTATTGTGACAACCTGAGACGTGATGCGGCATTCAGAAAGGAGCGGATAAACGTGAGCTAAGTGACCGATGCAAACGCTAAAGGAAAACGAATTGTTAAATCGAAAGATTTACACAAAAGAGACGCAGACCAAAAGAAACCATCGAATCACGGTAATCGAGTGGTTACAGAATGTCCATCAAAAGTACAGAAAACAATTGTCACTTATGACTAATCCTGAATCCTACTTCAGTAAATGTATCAAATTAAAAGATTTTTGGATGTTTACAAGTAATCGTCTGCCGAAGATGCCGATTCAACAGGGGAACAAAGGTCCGCAACCGTGCGAGCAGTGGATCGATGAAGGAACCGCGGTCAATTGGAACCAATGAAGTCAACAGCGTAAGCTGATAAACCATAGATATGAAATGGGTGACCAAAGGCAGTGTACGGCTGCAATGGTTAAAGACGAAAGTTGCTGTTTCTAATATACGCAAAGGAATCAAAACTACAATAACTTTAGGAGTAAAAAGTAAGACCCGATTTGTGGAGTTCGACAATAGAGCAGTGTATACTCCATGTAGGAGATACGGAAAAGATTTGCATCTTAATTAGTAGCCCAGATATTCGGACTACCTTGAGCAAATATGTGTGTGTGACTAATCAAGTGTTCAGCACCAATTATCAAGTACATTGTATCATTCTGAATGTACTTTGACAACAAACTCCGGGTAAACTACTTTTTTGATCAATCGACTCAACACAGGCGAATATTCCGATAGTTTGTGATTTATAACCTGCCTACTAATGAGTAGTGATAACATAAACTTATATTTATGGATCGAATAACGAAAGAACCGCAGGAGAAATCGGTGCGCCAATCAGACTCTAATTCCTCAGTATTTACCACATTTGTCCAAAAGGTCTCTTAGCAGACTTTTTGCATGAACCTGGTTTAATGACCATATTGCTTACTAAATCAGCAACAGCGTATGATTAAGCGGTCACGCTGGAGCGAAAACCGGTGTCCATTGCGTCAGAGTTCATGCACACAAAGTCCACCTACTCCGTCGCAGAATGAATACTTTCTTCATTTGTCCCAAAAGTGTGGCATCACCGAGCTAAGATCATTGGATCATAGTGGAGACTGACCCAACGAGACAGATAACTTGCCATCCCATCGAACGGACAACACTTATTGAACTTTCGATAAATGTATATCAAGTATTATCAATTGTGGACGGGGTCACTAGGGAACAATTACATGAAGGTTAGGTGTTCCTCGTCCTCCGTATACTGAATTAGAATACAATCTGAGCGTGATACAAAGAACAATATATTCACGGATCGGCGTCAGTATTGATACCAACCGACTTCACTTTATAGTAAACAAAGATGAAGAACTACCTGACTCCCAAAGCGAGCCTTATAGTAAATATTTTTCCATTCTCGCCGTAACCCATGTCTAATCGAACTTGCTGGATTCATTCAACTAAAACTAGGAAGTATGGTAGCGGATGATGATGCACAACCTTAAATACTAAATCTGTTGTTCTAGCGACCGGCGTGCATAATCGATTTAGCTATTTCTCGATTGGACCTGTTGAAACCATGGGGTACCAATCACGAACCAGTGGAGAGAAACCGAAAAAAGAGTTGGTTTATTGGAATATGGTAGCCATAGGAAATGATCCAAACGGTCCGCATCACATGCACCGACTACCCTAGATATGACAGACGTAGAACCTATTCACGTTGCACAGCCTTCACAACCATTACGCGCAATAGCCAATCAAACGCGATATTGCTACAACCATAAATGATTTCACTTTAATCTATCATGTGCTCTATGATCAGAATGATAAAAACCCACTGTACTATGATCTGTGGGCTGTAAGGAATCAAGAACTACCAGTAAACTCCCTCACACACACACAGTTAAAATGCGCTTTACTCGACGAATAACCCCGGACAGATAACAAAAAGATTTTCAGTTGGAATCGATTGGAACACAACGCCATCCCGAACAAACTCAATCTAGCTTTCACTGTCGCTGTCTTACACGAAGACATTTGGAGCAAATCCCGAACCCTGAACCGCCACCAAAAAATTGATCGACTGTGAAACTTGCTACCGGAATGAGCTCCATCACAAAAAACACTCAGATACACCCGATTCTAAGAAAAAGTCAAATTTTGCAATGCAATGTTATGGTTTCCAAAAACACCCTGATGTAGTGAAGGGATTACCTATTTAATGGTGGAAGGACCTCCCATCCAGGGTATTTATTATCATGAGAAAAACAACCGGCACTGACAAATATGCATGTTTCTTTACAAGAAGTAACTCGCGGCAGGTTGTAGAAGTAGTCCAATAAAAAGAATTCTATATCTGGAAATAATGGCTTTCCTTCATGTAGAACTGAAAAACGTAAAATTAAATTTATCCCAATTTGTCACCACTATTTCTTCATCTTCCACGGAAACTTTATTTATTAGGGGGGGTCCATAGGTTGTGACGGCATCTCACTTTTCATTTGCCCAGGTCTAAAGTCGAGTCAGGACAGAATCTTTAAAGAAATAAACGGTTCAATGCTAAAAACCGACCCCATTATCAGAAAATAATGACAACGTGACAGTGTTAGGGCTAGAAGACACGTGCTTCATTGTTGAACGGGGTGAGGTCACAAAGTTCATATCGATGGTGTGGGGGGGAGGAGCAACCAGATAGTTATCCTCGCCAGAACAACGAAAACATACCACCTTTTATCGAGGAGAGAGACGAGGTCACAGTGTCATAGACAAAAAAATATCCAATCATAATCAATCCAACGCACGTGACAACTCACACACCTAGAAGCGTGATATTATAAGTGATTCTTACATGCAATAAAAGCATCACAATCAGTGACGAGATTAGGTCGAAAATCCGGAGTTCCGAGTTGAAACATGTGTTCAGAGAAAAACTACCCTCACCAAGCTATAGTCTGAAGACGACTGTGTAACATGAGCAAAACGCCAGTAGATCAGCGATTTATTAATGGCAAAATAATTGAATTTGGAGTTAATGTAAATTCGGCAACCCGTCTACAGACCGAGTGATTGATCATTCCTCCTTATCAATGAATAGAAATTACACATTCGGTAAGGAACGTGACGCACTCGCATCATACAAAG